TTCTCCTACCTTAACCTCCTGAGTAACTGGGACTACAGGTGCACGCCACCACGTCCAGCTAATTTTTGTATTTTTAGTAGAGATGGGGTTTCGCCATGCTGGCCAGGCTGGTCTCGAACTCCTGACCTCAAGTGATCTGCCCACCTTGGCCTCCTAAAGTGCTGGGATTACAGGTGTGAGCCACTGCACCGGCCTCTGGCTGTATTTTTAATCAAGGTCTTTCACTCACAGTAGGTTTTACATTTTGTATTTGGCCCTAAGATATTGAATACATTGTATCTTCTTTAGGAAATTACTCCTTTTATCATTACATGTGCCCTCCCCCATTGTTAAGTGATTTGTAATCCCATGTTTCTCTTTAAGTGATACAATATTGAAAGCACTACATTTTTGTTTGCACATATCTGATTGGCAGTGACCGCTTTTTATGAAGTTGGAGAAGTGTTTTCTTATCTGAGTTGGAGAAACTAGCACTATTTGTTCCCGACTCCTTGCATTGCAGGGGGTGTGAAGCAGTCTGATCTCCATCCCCTAGTTCCTAGTCGCCAGCAGCACTCCCAGCCACTGCGAACAACAAGAGCCCTATGGATTTCTGGAACTCTAGTGTCTTTAACTGTTGGTTTTGCGTGTGTGTATGTGTGTGTGTGTGTTTGAGATGGAGTTTCACTCTTGTCGCCCAGCATGGAGTACAGTGGCGCCATCTCAGCCCACTGCAACTTCTGATGCCTGGGTTCAAGGATTCTCCTGCCTCAGCCTCTCAAGTAGCTGGGAAGCATGAACTACCATGCCTGGCTAATTTTTTGTATTTTTAGTAGAGACGGGGTTTCACCACGTGGGCCTGGCTGGTCTCAAACTCCTGGACTCAAGTGATCCGCCCGTCCCAACCTCCCAAAGTGCTGGGACTACAGGTCTGAGCCACCAACACGCTTGACTGGCTTTAACTGTTTTGTGGAACTGCGTTTTCTAGCTAGTAGCAGTTTTCCTGATGTTAGACAGTTAGATGTGTTTTCCATTTTTGCCCATTGTGAAAACATATTTCTTTTCTTTCTTCCACCTTTTCTTTAATCACTTTGCTGTTTCTTAGTAGTAACATTGTAGCTGCTTCTAATTTTTTATCCCAGCCAGACAATTCCATGACTGCCTGAGCTTAACTGCTGATGAAGAGAGGACTTTGATCACCAACCACACAGAGGCAGGGCCGTTGGTAGTAACTGAGAGACAATGTGTGTAGTGACTTTAGGAAGTCGTGTGGTTTCTTGTTAGAAAACACAGCTAGGAAAGAAGGAATCACAGTGGGGTGTATTCGTTTCCTAGCACTGTTAGAACAAATTACCACAAACTGGGTGACTTAAAACAACAGAAATATATTCTCTTAAGTGTTAGAGGCCAGAAGTCCAACATCCGTCCTTGCCTCTTCCAGCGCCTGGTGGCAGCCCGCCTTGAGGCTACGTTACTGCAATCTCTGCTGGAATCTTCACATGGCCTCCTCTTTGGTCTCCGTCAGATCTCTCTCTCTTTCTCATTTTCAATTTTCTTTTTAGAGACAGGGTCTTGCTTCGTCACCCAAGCAAGAAGAACTGCCAGGCTCAAGTGATCCTCCCACCTCAGCCTCCCAAGTAGCTGGGACTACAGGTGTGCACCACCATGCCTGGCTAATATTTTTGGCTTTTTCGTGGAGACAGTGTCTCATTATATTGCCCAGGCCGGTCTCAAATTTCTGGGCTCAAAAGATCCTCCTGCCTTGGCCTTCCAAAGTGTTGGAATTAAAAGCATGACCACCACACCTGGCATCTCTCTTTAAAGGATACATGAGGTAGCATCTAGGGCCCGCCTGAATAATCCAGGGTAATCTCTCCATCTCAGGATTCTCAGTGTCATCACATCTCAGAAACCTTCTTTCAAATAAGGTAACATTTCACAAGTTCCAGGGATTAGGCTCTGATATTTTTGGGGCCACCATTTAGCTCACTCCAAGAGGCTTTAAAGGAAGTCACTGATGTGTTAAGAGATGAATATTTTAAGGACACTTTGAGCTTTCAGATAGTACATATCATTTATCATCTAGGCCAGGATGCTTTCAAGATTGAAAGGGAGCTCTATGAATAACGGTGCTGGGAAACAGGTATCCACCTATACTGTCCCGGGCATGTGACATAGCGTCCCCCTCTCTGTAGCCTCTGGACTGACCTTGGAGGTGGCCAGGACACAGAAGCTGTTCTGACACCATTATTTCTGACATGTCTGTGTAGTCAGTGTGACTCATATTATAGTGAGGAGACAATTTCATTCTTTATCCAAACTTGCTGAAAGGGGAATTCTTAATTCTTACATATATATATATAATTGTACTTTAGGTTCTGGGGTACATGTGCAGAACATGCAGGATTGTTGCATAGGTACATACACGGCAATGTGGTTTGCTGCCTCCATCCCCCCGTCACCTGTGTCTGGCATTTCTCCCCATGTTATCCCTCCCCAACCTCCTCACCCCCCACTGTCCCTCCCCTAGTCCCCCCCAACAGACCCCAGTGTGTGATACTCCCCTCCCTGTGTCCATGTGTTCTCATTGTTCAACACTCGCCTGTAAGTGAGAACATGCACTGTTTGATTTTCTGTTCTTGTGTCAGTTTCCTGAGAATGATGGTTTCCCGATTCATCCATGTCCCTACAAAGGACACAAACTCATCATTTTTTATAGCTGCATAGTACTCCATGGTGAATATGTGCCACATTTTCCTTGTCCAGTCTATCTTAATTCTTATCTATTATTTGAGGTGTGCTTTTGCTTGCTTGCTTGATTTATTTATTTTTGAGACCAAGTTTTGCTCTTGTTGCCCAGGCTGGAGTGCGATGGCATGATCTCAGCTCATCACAGCCTCCACCTCCCACATTTGAGCCGATTCTCCTGCCTCGGCCTCCCAAGTAGGTGGGATAACAGGTGTGCTCCACCACACCTGGCTAATTTTTGTATTTTTAGTAGAGACAGGGTTTCACCATGTTGGTCAGGCTGGTCTCACTCTCGACCTCACGTGATCTGCCCACCTCAGCCTCCCAAAGTGCAGGGATTACAGGCATGAGCCACTGCGCCTGGCCATAAAAACCGTTCTGAACTAGCAGGTTACACAAAACCAGGCTGTGGGCTACATTTGGCCCATGGATTCTAATTTGCCAATCCCTGCTATAGAAGACCCTCAAGAACTGCTTTTTCCCTTCCCTGGTAAAAACAGTAGGTTGGACAGGGCGCAGTGGCTCACGCTAGTAATCCCAGCACTTTGAGAGGCCGGGGTGGGCAGACCACCTGAGGTCAGGAGTTTGAGAACAGCCTGGCCAACATGGTGAAACCCCGTCTCTACTAAAAATACAAAAAATTAGCTGGGCATGGTGGCGCGTGCCTGTAATCCCAGCTACTCAGGAGGCTGAGGCAGGAGAATTGCTTGAACCTGGGAGGCAGAGGTTGTGGTTCAGTGAGCTGAGATGGCACCACTGCACTCCAGCCTGGGTGACAGATCAAGACTCCATCTCTAAAGGAAAAAAAAAAAACAACAGCAGATTGTGGGCAAGGCTGGGAATAATGACTTCTGAGGCAGGGAAAGGACTTGTAGTTTGGGCAGTTCTTTTCTCTTTTTTCAAAATCATTTTCGAGATTATGTTCTCTTTTCAATAAAATTTTCTTTTTTTCCTTTTTTGTACCAGAGAAATTGAGAATAGTTTTTCCTGATGTGAATTTCTACAGTTTTGTAATTTTTTAAAAGCCTGTCAACTTTACATTTTCAAAAGGTGATATTTGATGCATTGAATGAGATCTAGAATACCCTGGGACTCTTTGTTATGATTGGGCTGACTTGCAAAGCATTTAACTTTTATGCATTTTTCACTAGGGGAGTTGAATGTTTTATTTTTGACTACTGTGCCTCGACTCTACCTTTGTTTCAATGCTGTACTAACTTTTCTTTGTATAGGCTAGCAAGTCAATTAACTAGTAAATCATTTTTCCTGCAAGATTCAGTTGGGTATGAGCCAAACTCTGAGCCACAGAACAAAAACCAAACTTGTAAACAAGGCATGAAGAAGAAAATCAGAAAGTGTGAATTTGGTAATTACCTTGTGGTTTGGATCCCAGAAATGAAGAAACACTGGATGCCACTGAGGAGAGAAGAGAACGGAGGATTCTTTTTGCTGGCGTCTTAGTCTGTGCCGCTGTAACTAAATACCACAGACTGGGTAATTTACAAAGAATCTTCAAACCTGTGTCCTGGGAGGGGAAAAAAAAATAACAGAAATTTATTTTCTGGAAAACCAAGACCAAGGCACCGGCCCTCCTGAGGGGAAGAATGCTCTGTCCTTACCTGACAGAAGATGGAAGGACAAGTTTGCAAAATGCTGCCTGAAGCCTCCTTTAGAAAGTTCTGAATCCTGCTCTCAACGGAGGAGCCCTCAGGGCCTAATCACCTTTTAAAGGCCCCACGTCTTAATCCTATCACATTGCCAACACCTGAATTTTGGAGGGGGCCACTCAACCCATAGTAACTGATCATACAGTTGTAAGAAGAGCACAAAATTGATTAGTGTTGCAAATTGGGTTCTATTACAAAGCAGTTGTAGCAACTGATTTGCTCTTTTTATTATCCTGGAACTTCGTTACACTAAATAATTCTCACAGTTAGTGAGGCTAATGACTAAGCCGTGGACATTTAGTATTAATAGAGATTCTGTTAGTAAATATTTATTGAAGAACTACTGAATGCAAAGTGTGGAGCTGTGTTCTGCAGATGATGTGAAAATCCCCAAACCAATTGTTTGCCCTTGGGATGTAGTCTAATTAGACAGGTATCACAAGGCAGTCCCAAATTAGAAAGGAGAGATGATTTCTGGAGTTCTGCCTTAAAATTGGAAGATTAGAACCAGACTGGGAGGATCAAACTTATTGGCTCAGCAGACACCGTGGAATGGGGACAAGGCAGGCATGTGGGTATAATGGCCAGGCTTCAGGTGTTTTCTAGAGGAGGAAGGACAGCCACAACGCCGACTTCAGGGAGGCTTCCCATAGCAGAGGTGTGGAAGAGGAGCTGTTCCTAGTAGGCTGCAGCCAGACTGGTCAGAGAACTTGGGAGAATAAAGCTGAGAAAATTCGATTTTGTCCCAAAAGCAACGTGGAACACAGTACAGGGGAGTTATGGTCTATAATTAGTAGAGAAGTTTGAAAAAGTAAAAAATGAAAAATATATTTCCCTAGAATCTCACATTTTAGAAACATCTGTTAACTTTTTAGAGTGTTTTCCTCTCATTCTTTTGTGTTTTGAACATAATATACCCCTATTTTTAATGATAATACATATTTATTTTTTTTAAATGGTGTGTTAGGGAAAACACAAATAATCTGTTAACATTTTTGATGTAATTCCTTCCTGCATGTGTTTTTACATGAATGTACTCGGGGGGGGGTGTGTGTGTGTGTGTTTAACAAGGATTATTTGTTACTATTTTGAATGAAATCTTTTTTTAAAGCTTTTATTGTCTCTTTTTGTGGCTGATATATAGAAATGCTGTTGTTTACTACAAAATGCTCAACTCCACCTAGGTCTGATCATATGTCTATATAATCTCTTGGATTTCTTTGATGTGGGCAGTTTTACTGTCCATAATTTATGATGTGGAAACCAAAGCTATACAGAAGTTAGGTAATTTTACAAAGAATATAATGTCAGTAAATGACACTAAGTATGAAATTGAATAGTAAGTACTAAATTATCAATCCTCTTAGAGTCTTCGTTCTTTGACTTTGTTTTTTTTCATTTGTAACCATCCAACTGTTGGCACATGAATCCCTTTTTAATAGCTGGACTTCTTTTAGCCTCTGGCTGTGTGAGGGTCTCTTGGCCTCAGTAATCTTACTTGTGCCACTCTGTTCTTCTAGAATACTATTCTCCTCACCTTTACTGAACTTGCCTTAAAAGCAGTTTCCTCTGAGGGACCACTAATAATGATCTTGTTTAAACTTTATGTCCTTCCTGCTACTGTCATCTCTCTCAGTACCTTTTATTTCTGCACACTTACTGTGATTTCAGTTATACATATTGTGACATTACATATATATATGTTTAACTGTTTGCTTATTTGATATTTGTTCTCTATACCCAGCATCAAGCACTTAGTTTTGCAGAATTTGTAAATAGTAAATGTTCGCTGAATTAGATGGAACGAATATATCTTTTGCTGTTACAACATGTGTAATTTTCTTTTTGATGCTTTGTTGATTGCGTGTATGATTTATCTTTCTCATGTACATCCTAGTGGGAGGAATCTAATAGTATCCATCTTTTCCTGTTATAAAATTAATGTTCTTATTGTTAGAGTCGTGCTCCAATTTCTGCAAAACTTGTGGCCAATATGCTGTAGGTGGCTGGGGCGGATCACATCATCACCATGGACCTGCATGCCTCTCAGATACAGGTATCAGTGTTTTCTTTATGCAATGGTTAAGTCAAGTCTGTTAAATAATCTTAGAAGAGGTACCATTAGTTGTGTTTGAGTTTATATATGGCTACTCTCTTGGATTTTTGTCTTTACTGAACTTGGAAATATAATTTGATATTAATACTTCCAGTCTCTCTCACCATCTTGCCCCCAGTCAGTTCTGGAGGAGTGTGGCTGGCTTCTTGGTAGTAAGTCCTGTATAGTTTCATCTCAGCTTATGGAAAATAATTAGGATGGCAGAGTCATAATATACATTTTTAAACCTCTTCATAACTTATTTTCTTTGTCTCTAAAACAGGCCAAATTATATTGTGCCACTTTGTGTTATATAATGAACGTGAAGTATTTAGTTTATAATAACTACTTAAGAGACAACAAACCTTTCCCCTCACCATCCTGCAAAGCCATTCTTTTCCTCAGAATATAGGCCATCATAAGACAGTAGCATATGTTCCAAAAGATGGATTGGACTGAAATATGCCCCTATAACATATCTGTCTTTTGATTTCATTCTTTCTTAAATGAACAAGAGGGAGTCTGTTATAAAAGCTTCTTTTAAACAAAAAATGCAGATGTTATTTAATGAAAGCAACTATCACTTTAAAAAGAAAAACAAAAAATCAAACCAAAACAAAACACTTCAATGTGACACTGACTTCTCCCTTTAGGGATTCTTTGATATTCCTGTGGATAATTTGTATGCGAAGCCCGCGGTCCTGCAGTGGATCCAGGAAAACATTGCGGAGTGGAAGAACTGTGTCATTGTTTCACCTGACGCAGGGGGAGCCAAAAGGTATCATGCAGGCTATGCCTTGCAGATTTCTCCATTTGCTGATTAGTTTTTCCCTTTCTAATGTATTAGATAAGGAAGCATGCTGTCAATTACTTAACACTCGATTTTGCTAGTAAGCAAGTAAGTAGACTGCGGGCTTCACTTCCAGAGCAGAAACCCATCATCTTTGTTAGTATTTCATCATTCAAGAAAGAAGAAAATGCATACACAGATACATAGACACAATAGGTATATATTGGCTTATTTGTTTTCAGCAAAGGATAGATGTGTTTTGGGCTTTTTTAAGTTATTTTTTTCTGATAATAAAAGTAATGAGCCTGATTGGAAAGTAAGTCTTTTAATTAACAGCACTTGGAAATGGTAGCCAAAATAGAACAACATTTGTAAAAAGAAATCTCTGTACATAGAATAGCAAGAAAGGGAAATATCAAGAAATAAAGCAGAGGCTGAAAGCCATGTCCAGGTGGCTTGAGGGGGATGGGCGTCAGATCCAGGAAGAGCCTTGTGGCTTGGGTTTTAATGCTCACATGGAAACCTCCATAAAGAAGGGAGCTAAAGCCAGGCACGGTGATGCATGCCTGTAATCCCAGCACTTTGGGAGACCGAGGTGGGAGAATCATTTGAGCCCAGGTGTTCCAGGCTGCAGTGAGCTATGATCACACCACTGCACTGCAGCCTGGGCAACAGAGTGAGACCCTGACTCAAAAAAAAAGGACGAAGAAGAGAAGGAGGCTGAAAGCCAGATCTCTAGCCAAAAGCCAGGGGGGAATGCCCATCTTTACCTGGGCCTTTGGATTAGGGGAGGGAACAGGCACCTATGAGAAGTCAAACCACCACCCTGTGAGCTTATGCCACATTCAGATGTGGAGTGCAATACACAGGAAAATGTTCTCCAGGCTGTAGAGCCCCTGTAGAGGGAGAATTTCACAATCCTAGCTGCTCAGTGAGCACACCCTGGTTAACCTAACCCAATGATGCCTGATCTAAAGTTAGAAAACCAAGGGAACACAGTCCACCCAAACCCAGCATGTGCAGACAACAGAGCAGCGGGCAGTCAATACTTGGGGATAAGAGAACAATTCCTAGACTATCAAGTAAGTTGAAAAGGAAACTAAGGTGAAGGAGAGATGGCACCAACCTAGTAGTAACAGCATGGCAGTGATGATGCACCCAGTGGCGTGAGAAGGTGGTACCAAGGAGCACGTCTCAAAGGCTTGGCAGAGAGTCTTGAGGTGTTAACAAGCAAGCAGGGCACAGGGTGTTCAGAATCAAGGATGAACACAATAAGAGAATGCGGCAAGCTGAGGCTCGGTGACTCAGTGACAGTGTAGAGCTTTGCAAGTGCTATCTGGGAAGAAAAAAGGCCAGAAAGGGAGTTTTATTGTGTAGGTAGAGACCTCCCAAGGGAGAGGTAAGAGACTTCTACCCTCCAGTCCAGTGAGGAAGCAAGGAAGATCTAAATGTGCACTAACAGAGGTGCGATCAGAGCAACAAGTGATCATCAGGCTTCGGAATGGCTAACATCAAAAGCCTGTCCCTCGTCTGGCACCCTCATCTCTCTGCAACACAGCTGAGGACCTAGGATCAAATGCAAAAGCTTAGGAGTAGCCCAGAAAGTTGTCTTAACATTCTTCCAGGAAACGCGGGCCCTGATGCTTAGAAGAGCCTTGTTCATTCTGCTCAAAGCTGCCTTCCAACAGCTGCTTGGGTTCCCAGCACAGAAGGGGCGGAACGAGCCATGCAGCTGGAGACTGGCCTCTGCCAGCAGCAGGAAGTGGCTGTGGCCAGGATGGAAACATAAATATATAAAAGACGGAAGCAGAAAGCTAACTTGCAAAGACCCTAGATGGGCAGCCCTGGGGTGGAGAGCGGCACTGTGTCATGTAGCCTGTTACTCTATGGTGCGTAATGTTCACAAAAATGCCCTTGGCCAAGCATTAAGGTAGAATCACACTAAGTGTCCTCTGAAAAAAAATTGTGAGCAACATTTTGGGGTCATTTCTACTAGAAATGCTTGCAGTTGACTTGGAAAATTCTGCAAGTCACATGGAATCTGCATTCAAATGAGGGAAATGCACTGGCCCGATGTAAGGTTAGAGGCAAAGAAGCCATCCAAGGGGTAGGTGAGCAAGCGTCAGATGTAACTGGTTTATAATAACAGCTTTGTTACAGTGTAATTCAAATATGTACAATTGGGTGGGCTAGGTGGCTCACGCCTGTAATCACAGCACTTTAGGTGGCTGAGGCAGGCAGATCAGGAGATCAAGACCATCCTGGCCAATATGGTGAAACCCCGTCTCTACTGAAAATACAAAAATTACTTGGGCTTGGTGGCACACGCCTGTAATTCCAGCCAGTCAGGACGCTGAGGCAGGAGATTTGCTTGAACCCAGGAAGCGGAGGTTGCAGTGAGCC